GAAGCAGATACTTAATATACTTCATTTTCTAAGCTGTTCCTATTGAAAAAATCGTTCTGGAGAAACTTCTACTTGCTAATGGGGAGCTGCCACAGTTGCTAGGTCAGCTGTCATTAGGCATAGCTGCATTGCTGGCACATCTAACCTAGCTCCTTCTGCAGGGAGCTGCATCCAGTGACACAGAAAAGATGTCTCTGAGTCTGACCAAGCACTGTGTCCTGCTCAGCACAGCTGAAGTTGCTGTTGGGTTTATTTTCTGGGACTGAACACTGTGCAACACACACGGCTGCACCCGAGCTGATGAAGTTACCTGAATTGTGCTAAGGGATTCGGACCCATGTAGGGACAGTTTTAGCTGTGAATCTCTGCATTGCAGCTCACTAAACAGGGGCATGGCTTCCAGTCCTTGCAAACCAATGCCAGGTGATTTATGAATCCCTTCAACTCTTTTATGGGGCAAATTCTGCCTTATTGTCTTGCTTGGGGTTCTTTCTCTCTCTTCCAGAGGAGATAATTCCTCTTGATCTTTAGGCTGACTTTTACACAAGGCTATAGGTTTAATTCTGGAGGAAAGGGGGTGGGGGAGGGTGAAGTCTTGTGGAATAACTAAAGAAAAACTCATCCACAAAGAGGGTATAGGAAGAAAGGGTATAGGAAGAGCATGACATGGAGTGGGTCTGTGATCATTAATGATACCAGCTCCGATATTATTATCACAGGCAAGATGCTCCCAGCAGCACAGACATCAGTATATGCCTGACCAGGTTACAAGAACTCCTTTGCACCCCTCAGCTACACAAATAAAAAAGGCAAGATAAACATGAGCCCTGAAAACCAAGAGAAGCCTTCATCTTTTACTAGACCCAGTATTTCCAGATGCCAGAAGTCTACCAGCAACTTATAGAGAAGAGGACAAAACTGGACCCAGTAGCCCCACAGCTAATTCCACAACATCACCTGCAAGCAGAAACGCAGAAACATGCACAGCTCCTCCAGCACAGCTGCTCTATTATAGCTAGTCTATCCAGACTTGCTTCTTTCTTCTTTCCAGATGAATACCTTGTGATCTTGAGGGTCCAGATACTTGTTTAACTAGAAATCAGATGCACACGTGCAAAATGCCTGAGCCACCAAAGGAACTGTGCACTCCCTGACTGCCCACTGAACTCCCAAGCTTTCCGATCACACAGGGAGCCCCAGTGCCAGGGGACTTCCCAACCATCCTCCCCAGTCCTGGGATACCAATCAAAAGGTAGCTGGAGGATGAGGGATTTGAAAACTTTCGATAAAGAAAATGTTGACTGTCTGAGAGGGAAAAGAACGTGTTTACTACGTTTGATCCTTTTCCATGTAACTCACCCTCTGTGCATTTCAGATGCCCAAACCGAACAGCAGCAAATCAGCCTGTGCGTTTCAGAGCAGTGGTGGCCTTTTCTGTAGGTAAAATTTATAGACATCCCCATCCCAATTTTACAGAAAAAAAAACTACTAAATACTTTCCAGTAGATGGCAGGGTTACATTGTGGTGAAGTTGAAAGTCTGAACTGAAAGGGCTCCTGCATAAAGGTTCAAGTACTGCTTAAGTATATTTAATTAGCAGGATGAACTGTAATATCTGAAAAGGCAAAATACACATTGGATTAACTCATTTAATGTGATATCAGAAATGTAGATTTTAAGGTAGTAAAATCTTAAAGCTCAAGATAGTATTAAAAATGAACCTTGTTAAAACTGAGCTTTACTGAGGGAACAGTTTATACCACAGAACTGACACAACAGAAAACACAGTATTTAATGTGAGAATCCACTGGAATTGCAAGCTGTAGAATATAGGCATGGGAAAAGCAAAAAGTCTCTTGCAAATATTACTGCAAATGACCAAAAAAGGTGGCTTTCAGGACCAAAATCAATTCAGCTGGACAGTATAGTGTTTGCCTCTTTCCAGGGACTGATCAAAAATAAGCACCCCAAACAGGGAATTCTGTACCTCTTTTGTCAGTTCGAGAAATCATGACCTCAGCAGGTGAAGAACAGCTTCTCATACTGGGACCCCCCACAGAAATAGCCAGCAGGAAAGCCCAGTGCACCCTGGGTATCTCAGAAATGGTTTTTTACTTGCCAGAAACCAAACCGCTCAGGCCAGAAGGATTTAATAACAACAGGCTGCAAACGGATGACATTTCAGCTTCTTTAAACTACAGTTCCCTGAATATACTTTTCCGGCCAGAACTGTAAGATGTGCCCCACCCTCTTTGAAACACTTACAGTGACTCAAGTGGCTGCACCTGTAGGCGTCCCAAGGTTGTATGGGGTTGTATCCTCCTTGAAGCATAGCTGGATTTCCATGCAGTAGATCTAAATGCGACCATTCTGTTTGTGTCAACGCTGTCTGAGATCATTCATGGACATTTGCTAATGTCAGACCTCTGTACACTGCAGGTAAACTGAAATGGCTGCGGGAAAAAATGTCACTCTATATTTTATATAGTTTTCTTTAGCAGAAAATACTCAGACTTCAGCCACCCAATACCTTCACTTCTCATTTGGTGTGTGTCAGGTTTGGTTTGACTCACTACAATTACTCACATACTTAATTTCACTGTTCTACTGTGGACTTAGAGCATTAGTTGAAATAGTATATTTAATCATAAAAAAAAAAAAAAAGCTTACATGCTTTCTTTTGTGAAACCAAAATCTATATCTAATAAGAAAATGCATGGGCTGACAACATACCAAACTTCTAAAACTAAAAAGGTCCAGCCTGGCACACCTTCTGTGCAGACATAGAACAAATTCTGCATTTATTGTACCAGTGCTGCTCAGCAGTGCTGCTCAACTGCAGATCATGCTGAAAAACGGAATTCTCATTCCTAATGATAAGCAGTATTTTCAAAGTCATATTTCCTATTATTTCCTGCAATAATATACTCAGCTTCCTCTGTGTCCCAAAAGACACAGCTTCAGACCACATCACTGAAAACAGTTTCAGGTTTTGTTTTTATTTTATAAAATACTGAATACTTTGTTGTCTTTTTGCTTTTAATTATGTCTGTTGTTTTTTTCACATGTTAATGCATGATTAAATTATATTCTTTAAAAGTTTCCCCTATCCTACAGCCACCTTACTGATAATTTACACCCATTGATTCACTTTGTTTATGAAAGCATTTGCTTCATAAAAAATACAAAACCAGAAAAGAATAAACCCAGGATCGACTGATGCTCTAAAATCCTATTGTATTTTTGCAGCTGGATAAAACACACAAAGTCTGACACATTTCTAAAATTCTGACTCTGGTGAGAGTGTAAGATAAATGGTAATATTAACATAATAATCTTGGGGTTTTTTCCCCAAGAATAACATAACTCTAACTGCTCCAAGATCACATGTCCCTTCTCCCCCTTGCAGCCTCATGAATAATTTGGCTCATCTTTCTCACTGACACAAACACTGAATCTTGCTGAAGGTCATGCAACATT